ACTTGTCTGCTACAAATTTTCATGCATTTTCTGTTCATTTCAGAGTGAGGATGGAAAAGATGGACCAATAACCCCATAGATATTCCTTAATTGTGAATTCTACAGTTTCAAATGCACCCTACAAATCATTAAACACATAACATTAATGATCAACAATGCAAAATATATAAGAGACTGTTGCAAAAGGTTGAAGACCTTTACAAATTTAGAATTGATCAACTTTCAATTGCTCTGGATCTCTTCTTTCAACGTGGCTTATCTAAGCCACTGAAATATGTTTGGCAGCCAACTTATATTAGTTATAAGCTAAAAAATTAAGTTGCGCCAACTTAGCTTATTTTTTTGGTGGCTTATAAGCTGGGTTGTTTGGCCAAAATGCCCTTTGATTTAACCGCCTCCCGTTTATCTATACCATTCCTAGTCGATCGTGCCATCTCATCTTCTGTCCAAGCGAACCGACTCCAGAGCATAATTCCATTGCGAAACCTTTAACCCTAAATCAACCCACTCCATGGCATAATCGTACTCCAGATCGGAAAAATGGCCAGCGAGTCAACTCCCAAAGCAGTTGTCTCTGTCAATTTCAGCGAAGACGACGACACGTCACAGTACGTCATCTCAAAAAGACATTCGAGCACAGTAGAGTGCACTGAAGCTGGCACATCAATTACTTTTTAAAAATGATTTTTTAGAAAACTTCTTTTCAAATTACTTTTGAAAAATATAAATATTTTAAAATTATTATATAAAAATATTATTAATCTAAAAATATATATTTTTTAAAGAAAATTTTTTTATTCTTCCAAAAATACTATTTTAAAATAAGTATTTTTAAAAGAATATTATTTTTAAGTATTATTCTTTGAAGAATACTACTCTAAAAATATGAATTTTCAAAAAATATTTACTTTTCAATTGTATTATTTTTTCAAAAAATATAATTTTAGTAAAAGTTTGAAAAAGTAATTTTTTTTAAAATGAATATTGTAATATATAAAATTAACTATTAATTGGTTTTTATTTCTTGAAAGTAAAAAATAAGTTGCATATATACAAAAAGTTAAAGTAGTACTAAACAATTACAACTATAAGAATTTTTTTTAAAAAAAAATTGAACCAAACAATTGTAATTACAGTTGTATGCATGAATAGTTACAACATTTCAGTTGTATGTAAGTGATAGTTGCATTGCGACTACAATTGCAACCTACCAGATGTAGACTGCAACCTTGACGAGGGAACACAGAATCATAGTTATATCTTAATCATAGTAAAGGATATTCCATAGCATATAACTATATTCTCTTTTATCCTCTTTTTACAATTCCCATCACAAACTAAAGCTACTAAATATTCTCATCAAAGTTTAAATCTCGTTAAAGCACAAGGCGCTGATCATATATTAGCTTTTGTTTCCCTTTCCTTTCCACATAATGCCTTGATTAGCATGTGGGAGTACATAATTCATGAGAAAGTTTTAGTGATAACTTATATGTATCTCTAAAATATTCCATGCCCCAAAGTCCAAATATTCCTAGTTGAGGATTCTGTGATCCTAGGAATTGTAATCTTAGAAATTCCTTCATTGAACATAATCTATATCTATATCTATCTATCTATTTATATCTATATCTATACTACTATAAAAAGAGGATTGATGTGTTAAAACTTTTAATTTTCTTTTTTGACCTCTCAAATTTTGATAAATTCTAACTATGTTATTATCTCTAATAAATCTTTCATTTTTTCTTTTTTGACCTCTCAAATTTTGATAAATTCTAACTATGTTATTATCTCTAATAAATCTTTCATTAAATAAATATAACCTCTTATTAATTGTGCATCTCCTCACCTTCCTAAATAATTATAATTATCAATAATATTATGATTATTAATTGTTTTAAAAAATGTAATAAAATATTTATAAAATAAGTATATATAATTATTGGTAGCAACAAATTAAATTATTATTATAATTATTATGAATTATAATAAAATATTCAAAATAATAATATAAATCATATCATATCATATCATATCATACTCTCTTTAAAAGAGGGAGTTGTGGAAAAACTTTTCATTGATCATATTGCCCCTATTCTTTTTTGATATTATATTCTAATAATAAATTACATAAATTAATTATCATTATTAATTAATCATATTATATGTCACTTCAATTTTGACTAACTTGGCCCAAAAACTTCTAATGTTATTGTAAAACTCTCATATTAATTATTAATATCGCATAATACTATATTAATAGACAATTGCAAGTTAATAAATTATTTAGGAAGGAGTAGACAATATAGAATTATCCTAAAATTATACCATGGCACTCGCGTAGGAAAATTATGATTACGTATACTCTTAACTGGTCGTTTTTTCAGATTTCAGGCTCGTGTATATAGTGCATGATTTCACTCTTATATTCATATATATACATTGAATTGATCTCAAATCAATTTCTAGCATACTAAAATATTAATAAATGTTATTTATCACCATATAACATATTTATTATTATTTATTAACATATTTTTAAATTCACGGGGTTTTACATGAAAACCTTTTAATATATTATGATAATCATAAACTCTTTTGCAACTATGTTATAGTAAATACATAAACTAAAAATCAACAATTATAATATTTGACCACGTGCATCGCACGTGCATTCCACCAAGTAGAATAATATATTACTAAGTAGTTTTGAGAATTATACTATAATTCAATGAGCAATATAATAAATAAATAAATATTTATTCGCATAAATAATATAAATATTTTAATAATATTACATAAATTATGAATTACACTATTTATTTAGTATTACAATTATGAATTACACTATTTATTTAGTATTACATTATTAAATAAATAATTTAATATTATTTTTAGAGAATATTTTCTCAAAGGTTATTACATGATACTTAATAATCTATACTTGGTAGCATTTGAAAACTAACCTTTTTACAAAAAAAACATTTAATATTAATAACAGTACTATTAATTGTTAATGATAGGATAATAAAAAATTAATATTGTAATATATAAAATTAACTATTAATTGGTTTTTATTTCTTGAAAGTAAAAAATAAGTTGCATATATACAAAAAGTTAAAGTAGTACTAAACAATTACAACTATAAGAATTTTTTTTTAAAAAAAAATTGAACCAAACAATTGTAATTACAGTTGTATGCATGAATAGTTACAACATCTCAGTTGTATGTAAGTGATAGTTGCATTGCGACTACAATTGCAACCTACCAGATGTAGACTGCAACCTTGACGAGGGAACACAGAATCAAGGAATTCAATTAACTCTGCCTACTTCCCATTGTATGACGAAGCGTGATATATAAATTGTCCAACCCACCTCCATAAATTCACCCCCCTTGTTTCCATTCAAAATTTATTGTATTGACTAAAATTGCAGACCATGCCAGCCTCCAACATTTACTTCCAAATTTAAGGAGTTAGTTGGGTTCATTTATAATGCATGTACTTGTTACGTCCACTTAATTCACCAGCTGCTTTCGGGTGCAATTTTTAATGGAGACAGCCTTTGGCCATCAGGCTTTATGAGGACTACCAACCCGTCTTCAGCCTTCTTCAGTTCTATATATCCTGTGCCGTCTCAGATTTGATTTAGACTAGTTCGCCGGGGACGATCGAAGATCACAACGATGAAGAAGAAACTACTACAGCAGTCTCAGAATAAGCTTACACTGGATTGGGAGGTATTGGAAAATTCAGGTGATCTCTCTCATCACCGATCTCTTTCCCATACGCTGATAAATACTGTAGTAGTATTTTTAGTCCCATTTGACTAAATATTTTGCAATTTGAAATAATTTTTTGTAGTTATTTCACTAATATTATATATCTAAAAATATATATTTTTAAAATAGTAATTAGTAAATTAAAAAAAAACTTAAAATTTATACAGTCTTAGGACTACACAAATATGTGTATCTTTACTACAATCTTATATCATAATAAATTATCAAACATATCACTAACTATGCTTAAAACTCCCTACAATGCAACCTTTTATAGAAAACTAAAAAATTAACACTTACACACAACATCGTAGACGATTATTCTTCTCAAAATTTTTGGTATAATTTTTTCTCCAAAAATAAAAATATTTCATTCCTAATTTATATTTAAAATTTTTATCTATACGGATGATGTTTATAATATTTAATTACAATATTAAAAAAATATTATGATAAAAGTAATCCGAAAAAATTTCTCTATCTACCACCAAAATTAAAAATATCACATGTCATAACTACCACATTATATCATTAAAAAAATTCTCTTATCCACCACCAAATTAAATAAAATATCCTTCCTACCAAAACTTCTATAAGAACCCATTCATTTCCCACTTATACATGTCATTGAAACAATAATTTTTCCTTTAAATTTTTGGTCTCAAAATCTATTCAAATAGTAAGTTATGACTTTATTATTTGTTGATGTCCATGTTCCTTTTATGCAACTATTGGAGAAGAGCAGATGGCTCGGGAACAAATTCAGTGATGTACAACGAGAGCTTCGAGTCCGTAAGAGCTGAGAGTTCTTCAAGTGTTTTCCTCACTTTTCGGGTCGCTATGGTGACGTGCTGATTGACGATGAGAAACCTAGAAGTGACCGGACTGTTCTCGACGTTGGTTGTTTCCGCTGGTTAGTGAACATCCGCGTTGGGTATCTTGTTCTCCGGGTGAAGAATCGATGCCACATAGAGCCTTACCTTCCCTGCCGTTTTGCTCGTCAGTTCGGCTATGACCAACTATATGTCGGGAATCCAAGCCGTAGCCTGCAGGTTGAGGGAGGACTTATTGATGGCGTACGAGCATGGCTGTGGACTATGGTGGGCTGCACTGGAGCCCATTTTGCTCTTCCTTCATATAGGCGTAAGCCGCTGACCACTTTCCTCAGTTGCAAGTGGTTCCTTTCCGCCCATGAATCCATAGGTGTGAGGAGCCTTTCAGAGTTACAGTCCGAGCACTCGGTCCAGGTTGCTATGATGGCTGCTCGCAGGGCTGAGCTTGCTCAGAAGCAGAGAAAGGGGCATACCGAATCTCCTTTCCAAGATGATGAAGAGCTCCTTCCTACGGGTGATGACGACGAGACTTCTGAGGAGGAATATGTGGATATCGATACTGACAGAGAAGAGCTTGATACAGGTTTGTCATGCTCTTAGATTTTCCTTCTCCATTCTACTTGGTATAAACGACAGATCTTGTTCGTTTAATGAAATGACCATTGTCACTTTAGGTAGGGCAGTTGACGATCATGAGTCGCCAGCTTCTCGTTATACGAGCTCAGGGCCCGGCGATCGAGCTCCAACGCATGTTGAGATGTGTGACAAATCCGTGCATGACCGACCTGTTGGTCCTAGGAGGGCTGACGCCCCGAAAAGGAAGAAGACCGCTCATAAACCGCACGACGGTCAGCGTCCTTATGGAGTGGATGTAGGAAGCATCGCCGATGGAGGGGAAGGTAATATTTATTTTTATTGCTTTGTGGTGATTTACCTTTTGGGATTCGTAACCATGTTTTATGCTCCAGGGTTCTTTGAAGAGGGCGAGCTTCCACCGGGTCCGGTATCTCCTGGATCTGATAACATGGATTGCTTCATGCAGCAGATGTGCGACGCCCTTCATGATGGTTCTCTGGGCATCGATCTAAACATTGATCTTGAGCAGGTGAATAGTGTTGAGCCCATCGTCCCATATTCAGGTATATCTACATCCAATGATACCCTCCTCAAGCATGGGGAAAGAATCTTCTGTTTTTTTTCTTTTTTTTTTGCTGCAGGTATTTCTGAGCTTTCCTTTCCTCCTCATTCTCCAATATTTAGGTTATCCTGCAGATGTCGTGATGGAAAAGCCAGCTGAGGATGGAGCCTATCATGATGTAGGTTTCGAGGAACGGGGGTGTGCTCCTGTACCAAGTTTCTCGAACCCCGACGCTGGATTATTAACCGACATGCTGGCTGAACAGACTGCCAGAGGAACCATGAGACCACCCTTTGAGAGTGATTCATTCACAGGTATATATCTGATTCCCTTCATCTTGCCTGATCTTTTGTCTGACTAACGAAGGATTAATATTACAGCGCCAGTCATTGGGATTAACCCAATATCGATTCCCGGCATATCTAGCTTACCTCGGAGTGACGGGCTTGCAGGTATGCATACGATCTTGGATGTCGCACTGCTTTTCATTCATTTTTTTTTCTAATGGATGAGTGTAATCATAGGACCAGCCACTTGGGCCGATACCCTTATGACTCTTGGCATTCCCGTTGCATCTGATGACGGTGGGATTACCGGTATGCATACAATCTTCTTGTCCCGATTCTCCTTATTTGTCCAAATTTCCATTTGACTAATACAGGAGTGTAACTATAGGACCGGCCGTTGTGCCTGATACTACTACAGTTTCCGGGACTGAAAGTTTGCATAAAAGTGGCGTCTTCATGCCCTTGCCGAGTGGTATGAGCGATCTGCCTACAGGGGTTGATATACCCTCCATGACCACTTCTGCCATTATCTCGGAGTCCGCCGGACCTCAGCCCGAGGGGACCTCCGCCGGCGTTGGTATGCTCGGAATTTGCCTTTGAATTTCCTTATCGTATTCGATAATCTGCTAAACTTCTATGTTGTTGCTTGTAGGATGTCGATCCTCTCTATATGAGCGTGTCCGCGTCCTTTTGGTCGATACCGATCCTAACAGAGACATTTTCCGTACGGACCTCGGCTTCTTCACTGCCTTTTATAACGGCATGATCGAGAAACTTCTTCATAGAGGATACTGTCTCGATTAGTTCAGGCGTTCCTTTTCTCGCCACATGATGATGATGAGGGAAGAAGGATGCCCGGAATTGGCCGATTCCTTCACTGCCGATTTCGCTGTTCTGGAGTCATAGATCCGAGAGTTGAAGTAATTGGAAACTAACGGGGCTTCTTCTTTTGTGTCCTCTCAGCTGGAGCATAGGCTGGCACAGTGGCGCGACCTGAGATCTTCTATCGGATGCGAGCTTCAGTCACATGAGAGCTCCATTGCGCAGCTAATGGCTACCGTAGCGAGGAAAGATACGGATAGAGCTGAGCTACTCCGCTCTTTGGACTCGAGCCGCGAGGAAGTGACTAGGTTGAAAGAGGCCTTGAAGCGTGCCGAGGAATCTGTTACTCTTATTGCAGATGACCTGGCCGGATTAGAGTGTTCTCGTGAACAGGCACTCGAGAGGCTAGGATCCACCCAGGAGAGACTGATGAAGCTGAAGAGTGAAGCCATGGAGATTTTGAGCAGTTCTGAAGAATCTGCTCGAGCTGATCTGCAGGCAGAACTCGAGCGGAGTTATGTAGATAGACTTTTTAGTTTAAAGTCTCATATTCTCAACCGCCAACTGCCTTCGGGCTAACGAGCTTTTTATTGTATGCTTTTGACTCGATCTATTAATAGAGACTCCGCATTTGCTTCTTTTGTGATTTTTCTGTGAATGACAAGATTTATGAGATTTTTGGCAAACCCTCAGCCATCAACGGGTTTGATGTGTCTTTACCGATTACCGTTTGAGATCGGACTAGCATGTGAATTATTAAACCCGTCTCACATGTAACGTTGTGCTAAGAAAATCGCTTTTCTTAGACTTGATGCTATGATTTTGAATACATAGACTTAACCATTTCTTATAGGGAAAAGGCACCCCGCACCGCGTATTAGGCGACGACTTATCCCTTCTTAGGTTTCGGGATAAAATTCCCCAGGTTTAGACCCTGATGTCTTTTTCAATCGGCGAAAGACTAAACCGGCCATGTGTGTTAGACATAGACTTTGAGATTTTTCAATCGGGCTAGCATGCAGATTGTCTAGATCCGTTCCACATGTAACGTTGTGCTAAGAGAGTCAATCCTCTGAGGCTTTGTGCTATGATTTTGAATACATAAGCTCCGCCCTTGTTACGGGAATAGGCTACCCGGCAACACGTGTTAGGTGTTGACTCATCCCTACTTAGGCTTCGGGATAAAATTCCCCCAGGTGTAAACCTTGGTGTCTTTTTCAATTGGTAAAAAGACTAAACCGGAAACCTTGACGAGGGAACACAGAATCAAGGAAGTCATTTAACTCTGCCTACTTCCCATTGTATGACGAAGCGTGATATATAAATTGTCCAACTCACCTCCATAAATTCACCCCCCTGTTTCCATTCAAAATTTATTGTGTTGACTAAAATTGCAGACCATGCCAGCCTCCAACATTTACTTCCAAATTTATAATGTACTTGTTACGTCCACTTAATTCACCAGCTGCTTTCGGGTGCAATTTTTAATGGAGACAGCCTTTGGCCATCAGGCTTTATGAGGACTACCAACCCGTCTTCAGCCTTCTTCGGTTCTATATATCCTGTGCCGTCTCAGATTTGATTTAGACTAGTTCGCCGGGGACGATCGAAGGTGTGTGTATATATGTAATTTGTATTTTATTTATAATTTCTATTTCATTTGTATTGGTTAGAACTTTATAGCTTACGAAATAAATAATATATATCTAGTTGTTAACTTGTTGAACATTTGACTAAATATTTTGCAATTTGAAATAATTTTTTGTAGTTATTTCACTAATATTATATATCTAAATAAAATATTTTTAAAATAGTTAATTAGTAAATTCAAAAAAAAAAAAAAAACTTAAAATTTATACAGTCTTAGGACTACACAAATATGTGTATCTTTACTACAATCTTATATCATAATAAATTATCAAACATATCACTAACTATGCGTAAAATTCACTACAACGCAACCTTTTATAGAAAACTAAAAAATTAACACTTATACACAACATCGTAGACGATTATTCTTCTCAAACATTTTGGTATAATTTTTTCTCCAAAAATAAAAATATTTCATTCCTAATTTATATTTAATTTTTTTATCTATATGGATGAGGTTTATAATATTTAATTACAATATTAAAAAAATATTATGATAAAAGTAATCCTAAAAATTTTCTCTATCTACCACCAAAATTAAAAATATCACATGTCATATCTACCACATTATCTCATAAAAAATTCTCTTATCTACCACCAAATTAAATAAAATATCCTTCCTACCAAAACTTCTATAAGAACCCATTCATTTCCCACTTATACATGTCATTGAAACAATAATTTTTCATTTAAATTTTTGGTCTCAAAATCTATTCAAATAGTATGGTATGACTTTATTATTTTTTCAATACGATGATTTGTACTTTTAGGCTAAGGCAACAGCTTAAAAAATGTTACGTTAGCACAAAAATTTTTACCTTAGGGCAAGCGTAGCGGCTGCCCATCCGTATTCTTTGCTGGCATTGCCCTAGACCATAGGAACTAATAATAACCCAACACTAAAATAATGAATAAATGCTACATTACCAATTCCATGTCGGAGAAATAATGTGGTTTTAACTCATCATATATATAATATTTTCTCCAGCAAACTACATCGGCCGAAAAAGTTGTCTGAGATTCAGAAGTAGATTTAGATAATAATTTGTTATATAATAGAGCATTTGAGATTTATACCCCTCAAATTGAAGGTAGTTTTAAATTTGTCCTCCATATTATAATTTAACCCTCTCCAAATACATTGCAAATTACAACACCTTGTTGAAATCTATAAAACAAGGATGGAATGAGAGATGATGAAGCTCTACCCTAAAGAAATAAAGTACATTGCAAAGGACGAAAAGCTATTTCACATGAAGAATTCTAACTAGAGAAAGTGTATACAGAAAAGAAATTATCCAATCCAATAATGAAAAATCATTATGAACTTGTAAACCAAAACTGGCTTGTCTAGATATTACTAATGGCTGACTGGTTTTGTGATCACATATAATTTGCATCTATATTGGCTAAAAAGCATAATGTCTATTCATTATTCAACATAAAGGAGATTATATAGTTTGTGAATTTTTGCGGCAAAATTATAAATTATAAAAAAATTTAACTAGGTAATAAATTATTATTTTCATTCTATATTGACTATCAAGAAAACCCACAAATTAAAATCGGGAGGCTCGCATAGTCTCTTAAAGTTTATTTCATGATGTTGCTTTGCAAAACTTTCTTTTATGACCAAATATATATTGTCCTTCGATTTATGTTTCTGATCTTACTGTATTTTATCCTACTTTAACTGGTTCACTATTATGGAGGGAGATGTGGAGGAAAGCTGTAGAGTTATATATGTGGCTTATGTTTTGTATTCCTGTGTCTTTTTAACTGGTTCACTGTTATGGAGGGAGATGTGAAGGAGGAAAGCTGTAGAGTTATATACGTGGCTTATGTTTTGTATTCCTGTGTCTTTTTAGTCTCTTTAAATATTTGTTATTTGACCTTTAATTTTTCTTGATTTTGGCGCAGACTTCTTTTCCACAAGGAATTCCAACAAGTAAAGATTGGAGTCAGCTTGGGGCAGGCGGAAACTTGAAGGGGCTCCAGTCCGGCGTTGTAAGGGTCAGTAAGAACGCTGAGGCGGAAACTCGACGCCTCCTAGCCTTGCGCCAGGCAGATGCTGCCGCCAGGTCAAGCTCTGAAGCTCGGGTTCGGAAGGCTGCTGAAGACAAAGCTCGGGAAGACCACGCGAGAAAAGTGGCGGCGGCCAAAGAAGAGCTCTCTACTTTCAGCGTGTTCGACTGAGGCCTCGATCTTATGATTGTATTAAGACATTTTGCTTATGACTCGTTTGTTTATGAAATCATAACTTTGTTCAAATGTATTGTCTTAAAAGCTGGGTGCATGTTTGGCTTCTTTGAACGTAATATTATGACTTTCGCAGTTGCAAAAAAACTATAATTTTGTTCAAATGTACTGTCTCAAAAACATCTGATGAGGTTTGTGTTTGCTCACTGTGTGTACACTTTCTGATACATCGCCCCTCAATGTTTTGCCCTGTAATGGCCGACAATCTCGCGTCACAGGCGAAGTTCCCTTCGTGACGACGAGTCTACTTTCAAGGCCATACTCTATCCTGATGAGTTTACGCTGGTGGCGAAACTAAGGCGATGGCGAGTTCGCTAGGATGATGAAACTCGACTCCTGATGAGTTCACATTGCTGACGAAACTCAATTGATTGACGAGTTCGTTTGTAGGCGAAACCCGATCGCGGCGAGTTTTGCTTGGAAGTTAAACTCAGCTGCTGGCGAGTTTACACTGCAGGCGAAACCCGTATGATGGTGAGTTTGTGTTGAAAACCAAACTCGATTGATGGCGAATTTACGTTGTAGGCGGAACTCGTATGATGGCGAGTTTACACTACATGTGAAACTTGCATGGTGGTGAGTTTGTCCAACAGTCAGAAATCCAATTGTGGGCGAAGCTTGTGCCACGCGTCCGTCTGCGGGCTCAAGTGCTTGCCAGCTAAGACTCTGCGGGCACATTAATGCTCATTAATGGCGAAGCGACCGAACGCTTCACCTCTCGTGCTCAATCCGATCGGTCGGTTTGGGGTCCCGAGAGGAATGGCCTTTATTGGCGTTGCGTTCGAAGCGTCGCCGGACACCCGAACTGTTCGATTGCCTGAGGTAACAAATCTCAGCCGTTGGGTTTTTTGAATATATATCCTTACTCGCCCCTCTTCAGCAGAGTCCTTACTGCTTCGAGAAAAATCCGCTAGAAGAAGATCTCTGCGGAAAACTTCCCTGCCTCATGGCTTCTGCTTCCGACCACAGCGATTCTGAGGGCGTTGGCTCTTCTGCCACCGTCATCGACGTCGGCACGCCGCCGGCCTCTCCTGCGGGCTCGGTCCAGGGGTCCTCTGCTCCGGATCCCGTGGCTCACCCTGCGTTCGTGCCCCTCCAGAGGTTGGAGGGTTTGGTGCAGGGGATCGCCATCTCGGTCGGCGTGGGCGACGGGCGATACTATGATGCGCTCCCTCTCATGGAAGCGGGTTTAAGGGAGGTCCGCCGTGCGGGTGGTACTTCGCTCGCACAGCAGTGTGAGCATGAGCTTCATCGCGTGGAGGGGTGGATGTACCGCCTCGAGGAGCTGGCATACGACGATCCCTCTGACGTGCCACCGCCCCTCTCGCTGCGCCTCCTGCTCGAGCGTGAGGAGCGGGCGAAGCGGATTCGGGCAAAGGAGGCCGAGCTCAAACGTCTGCGCAAGCGACACCAAGCGGTGCTGGACCGGATGGACACCTACTTGGACGCCGCTTTCTTTGAGGATGCCGGTTCTCTCCGCGGCGAGGCAAGGCTTCGGGAGCGTGAACGTGAGGCGAGGAGGCTCAGCGAGGCTGCCGGGACGGTGGACCGGGAGCTCCAACTTCTTCGCC